GAAGTAGAATTGCCCAACCTTCCTTCCGAGGAGTGGCTGGCGGGTTTGAACTGCCAGCCTTCTGGTTAGCAGTCAAGTGCCTTAGCCACTATGCTACCAGAGCTCCCTATAGGAAAAATATATATTCTTAAATTGTAGACAACTTTATTAACCAGAAATATATGAATGAGAAAAATGACATGATGTTCTAGGCATTAAAGAAGGAAGACTGGGCAATCTACTTCCTTAGAGATATTGTTGTTATGTTATGTGCCATCGAGTCGGACGTGACTCATAGTGACCCCTTCTTGGGTTTCCAAGGCAGTATCACTACGGAAGTAGATTGCCCAACCTTCCTTCTGAGGAGTGGCTTAGAGATACTGCCTCGGAAACACAAGGAGGGGTTGCTATGAGTCAAAATCAACCCTATGGCAGTGAGTTTGGTTTTTGTTTGTTTTTTTTGTTTATAGGCAAATATATTTAGCAGCAACACAGAGGTATATTTCTAATCTTTGTCATACATACCTCCCTACACACACATGCACATATATACACACATGCATGCACATGGCTCTTCAGAATTCACCAAGTGTCTTCAAGTACACAATTCCCCTCATCCTGAAAACCACACTGTGAAGTCAATTTGTGTATAATCTTCCCTGGATCAATTAGATTGACTGGGTTACTGGACCAACTGAGAACCTGGTAAGGATAGCAAGCTGTTCAAGGTCTGAAAGCAAGCTAGTGGTAATACTGGGACAAGAATTAGTCTTTCCCCTTAAATGCCATGTTTATTAAGTCTTTTGTGTACCAGGCACTGTGCTAGTTGCTAGAGACATAGATAAGCAAAAAGCCAGTGATGCCCCACTTAGTTCTTATTCTTTCCTCCTTTCCCCTTCTTTTTGGTTCTCTGCTTAGTCTGGGCAGGGCTTGTGTTGGTTTCCTTTTAGGGCCTGATGTCTGGGTTTGAGGAGTTCTGGTGCTGTAGTGGTTAAGGCATTTGTCTGCTAACCAAAAGCTCAAACCTACCAGCTGCAACACAGAAGAAAGACGAAAGATAAGGCAGTCTGTTTCCATAAAGATTTACAGCCTTGGAAATCCAATGGAGGTCTCTATGAGTTGGAATCGACTTGATGGTAGTGAGGTTGGTTTTGATTTTGTTTGTGTTTATGCCATCTCTACTCTGTCAGCAAAGTCCAGACTGCTGTGGGTCTTGTCTCTTCTCTAGGCATGTTTTCCCCGTGCCTAGTGGGATGTCACATTTTCTCTCCCAGGAAGTAATCTTCTCCATTCACTCACCTTTGGTTGGAAGAGTCTGGAAGTATCACGTCTTCTCTCAAGATTCAAGACAGTTTCACCAGAGACCACTGCCCAGTCTTTCTACCAGGTAGACTACTATGTAGGCTACATTTTGTGAACTTTGGAAGCCGTAGCTTACTTATCAAATGCAGTGCAGTGGCCATAGGGATCAGGAGACCCTGGTTCCAGTTTCCATGTGTTTACTCTTTTTCTGTTGATCTTCCTATTGTTGATTTCTAATTTGATAGCAT